GAATCTCGGGTGATGTTAATTTCATATTTGCAAGAGCATTTTCCAATACGACGGCTTTAACATCCTTATTGTGACGAGCATTAAATCTCAAAAGTGTAAGAAAGTTCCCTTGGTTGTTTGAATCATCAGCTTCATCGTGGCAACAAAATGCAAGTCCTTGTTGTAAAAGATATCGAATACATTCAACTGATACAATCAAACGAATTCGATATTCAATTCTAGCTTGGTCTAGCTGCTTGTAAATTTTTGTTTGAATGTGTTGCTTTTGGTTCACCAAGGCTTTACAAGATCTATAAGCTTGGTTGTGGGCACTATTCGGACCTCCAACATGAACTTTGAGTTTTTCTCTCTTCTTCCAATTTGAAAACCCCTCACCCACAAAGGAGTACCTCCTGATTGTTCTCCAATATCTGGCTTAAAAAGGAAACAGCATAGGCAAAAGGCCTCATTTTTTGCTATGCTATATTCTAGCCAATTAGAATATTCACTAAACCAAACAGGGTTTAAACGATGTAACCGTTTCCCGAAATTCCTATAAGGAAATTTATGAGTCTTAGGCTGATAAGGACCTTTTAGATAATATGTTCTATGAAGTTCGTCTCAAATATTAGGATGGTAATCCATTATTCGAGCTTGTAGTCGTGGATCTGCTGGAAGATCCTCCAAGGTTATTGTCAATATGGCTTTGTTTTAAACCATCATCATTTCTCTCTATAGAAGATGTCAGCTCTGATTTTCTTTTACGGAATTGATCAATTTTTTTCTGCATAACTGTTTTAAATAGAAATAGATTATTTAGGGGGGAAAAAAATGTAAGATTGTAAATTGCAATTACTCACTCTATTTATCATATTAACTATTAAGCATAACTGTTCCAAGATGCAAATTATATTTCTTTTAAAATTTTAGAGAACTTAATTATAATTTGTGGAATTTTGGGATGTGACCAAATATGCACATAATCAAGAATAAAATAGGGCAAGAAAATAACTACACACAGAATCAAACACTCAAATCAATCGTACCAATATACAAACACACATATAATTTATATATATGAGTTTTTTTTTTTTTTTTTTTGACTGACTGAGAAGTCTAATTACTAACCATTTGGCGGGTTTGAAGCTCCTATGTTACTATGTAGCATTATGGGCTCCAAAATTGATGCAGAAAATCTGTTGTTTTTGTTTGTTGGTGGAGAGAGATGAATTTCTGAGCAAATGCGGAATCAACCAAATTATTCATTTTAGGGAACTTTGAAATGAAGGAACAGAAGAATCAGAAAGAAGATAAAAATAATTTGATTAAAGTTTTGGGAGGTTCTGATTTGTTAATCGAAGACCTCTCTTTTCCGTATTTATATAAAAATAAATTAAAAGGAATAATCAAGATCTTGTCATAGAAAGAACACGGAATGGCACGACTGACTTTTTTTTTTTTTTTACCAAACTACGACCAACAATGTCTCGTTTAATTAAAAATAAAATCAAATAAATATAAGGACCATTGCAAATAGATGTGAATCATATGATTCATGTCGAATTGTGAACCTAAATAAATTAAGGTTTCCAAATTGTATAAAAAAAATATATGTTTTACCTGGGGAATCAATGACAGACTGATAGCAAAACAGGGCTAATTCTCTTTTGATATCTCCTTCCGATTCTGTTGCAGACAATGGAGTTTAGAAGAATCAGAATAAAAAATGGATCGCCTTTTCTGGGTACGGTGTAAAGTAGAATTGTTTTCCCTAAAACAAAAAGAACGTGATGCCGATCCTTTAGCCTTCGAAATGATAGGTGAATGATTGAATCACCCCTCAACATGTGAACCAAAAAAAAAATTGTGGGGGGGGATGCTCCCCCCCTAGGCACAAGGTCCCTTCGCTCCTGCATGCAAGTGAGAAAGTCTATTTTATACACTTAGGAAAATGATTCGAAAATTTAGGCTGAACATTGAAAATAAAAGGAAATTTTTCGGGTTGATCCATAATACAAGGCACGTATTCCTTGTATATCATCAGCACTCAGATCCATCTTGATAGTTCCAGCAGGAAACATTACGTACCTAATGGCATTTGAATCTCTATGTGAGTTGTACGCAGCGGAATATTTAAAAAGTTTTGTATTTTTTAAAAACAGATCTTGTGTTTTTCTAACTTTCCTTATTTTAGAAATTAAATACTTAATCACATGCAGATAAAATAAGTAAAGTAAAAGTTAGAAATGACACCAGGATTTTTAGCGAGGAAACCTCAGTTGATAAAAAAAGTTAACTATTTGCACGAGAAAATCCTCGTGGACTATTCAATCCAAAGTAAATCGATTTATTATGTTTAAAACAAAGTACACTGAACTTTGACTCTGGCTCACACCCTATCATTCTACCAAACACCAATAGCTGACAATCCTTTGGCTTTGCAACGTCCCATCCAACAGCAACTTAACCTCAGGCTTATGATTGGTCTTTGTAGAAGAGTAGCAGGTAGATCTGACAACACTTCACGAATGCTCCAACCCATTTAAAGTGTGATCGCTTTTACTTCTGTTTTTCAACTTCTGAATTCGATGTAGAAGTAGATATGCTTTTCCTTAATTGATGTAGATGAAACTGTATGATCACGATCAGGAATTTTGAACAACAAAACTCTAAAATCACTATGTAAATATATATGTGTTCTAGAAAGACTAACAGTAAAATCTCTATGATTTTCTGAAACAATAATCTTCCTAAGGCTTTTATGAATAATGACTTGATAGTGCAAAAGACATGAATAAACCTAGATGACTAACAAAGTTTATAGAGAGTTTAGAATGACCTAATCCATTTGAAAATATGAAAAATTTCGCGCATAGGACTTGGTACAATTCTAAAACAATTAGGAAAGAAATTTGGAAAAGGAAATTGACAGTTTATAGACTTCTTGAACCAGTTCAAACTTGGCAGTTTGAAAATTCGAAGCTAAATTGAGCTCTTGAACCTGTTCAAGTATGCCAGAACCTAAACCTTCGGTTCACTAAGGCTCAAACACTGTATTTGGTAAGTTTTAAATAAATACCAAATGTAGATGTGTCCTAACCTTTTTACACTCCTTCCTAATGTGTTGTTCTTACCTTTTTCGAAAGATCTCAGTTATGGTAACTTTGAACAACCTTCCCATTCTACAGTTGTTGTCGATCCCAATATGGTAACTTGAATTACAACTCGACAATGACTTGTTTTAATTTGTTTCCGATAATTGCCAATTACAAAATAATATCTCACACTGTACTATGGTCGAGCACAAGAACATGCCCTATCTCATGAACTACAATTGATTCCAAGTCTATTTGGCTTATGTTTAGATTACTGCTCCAATCCTCATCAGCATCATAGTGGACCCATCCTTTTGTTGGTGCAAAAGAATGAGCCAATATGCCACCTGAACCATCAAATGCATTCCCGTCACCATGATCACCACGATGGAAACCAAGAACAATGTCTCCAGTTGCACCCTAGGGAGCTTCCACAAATGTAAATGGGCTCACATTTTGACATTTTTGAGAAGTTTGCGAGCACACCGACCTCAATTCTTGCAATCCCACAGCTTAGGCACTGGATTGGAAGCTATAAGTGAGATTGGTTTTCGATAGAGGCCACCGTGGCTTTCTTGGGAAGAATGAGTACTTTGCAACCAAGTTGAAAAGTTTTATCTGTTTTATTTATGTGCTCGACAATGAGTTTGTGACATTGACAACATCAGGCACGCCACATCTTGGGAGCATCATTTGTTGAATGGTTTCAGAGTCTAAGATTCCGGTTATATTCAAGTGATAATTTGATTGGTATGCCCCGACCGCAGACTCTAAAAGTTCATCGAACTCACTACAACAAATTTGGTCTTTGGTGACAAACAAATTTGTCGCTAAAAGTACATATTTTGTTGCGATAAGATTATCTCGACAAAAAAAATTTGTCACCGGTTTGTCACTAGAAGCCAGTCACAATATGTTTTTTGTGACAAATGTTGATTTGTCACTACAGGTGAGATATATTGTGACAATATTTTTTGTCACAAAATGAATAAAAATTGCGACAAAATATTTGTCATAAAATATTCAAAAATTGTCGCCTTAAAACCTCCAAACCTATGAAATTTGTCGCTGTTTGTTACTATTTTGTGATGAAAGCAATTTTTGTCACTATATATATAATCTTTTGTGACAAAAATTGTCGCTATAACCTATTTTATTATGACAAAACTTTGTCACAATATACATCCTATGTTGTGACAAAAATATTGTCACTATAACCTACTTTATTGTGACAAAAGTTTTGGTCACAATATATATAATATGTTGCGACAAAATTATTGTCAATATAACTAGATTTATTGTGACAAATTTCGTCACAATATATAGGGACGTGTTGCGACAAAATTATTGTCGATATAACTAGTTTTATTGTGACAAAAAATTTCGTCACAATATATAGGGACATGTTACGACAAAATTATTATCGATATAACTAGTTTTATTGTGATAAAAAAAAATTTCACGATATGTAGGGACATGTTGCGACAAAATTATTGTCGATATAACTAGTTTTATTGTGACAAAAAATTTCGTCACAAATATATAAGGACATGTTGTGACAAAATTAGTTGTCGTTATAAGTTATTTTATTGTGACAAAATTAGTTGTCGCAATATATATATTATGTTGCGACAAATAAATACAGTGACAAGGTTAAATATTGTGACAAAATAAATATCACAATATATATACCATGCTCCGACAATATTTTGTCACAATATATCTATCATGTTATGACAAATATGTTGTCACTATAAGTTAAATATTGTGACAAAATAATATATCGTGCCATTAATACAATAATATAATTTTGTTTTCACCTATTTGAAATTTGGAACCTATAAATTAAAATATTAATAAACTAGACAATCTAAACCAAGCTCCAAGCATATCACTCAAAATAAATATATTTGATAATCAAACATAGAAGATAAAACACATATTCCATTAAGAATTTAAATATTAAAATGTGCAAATCATCTAAAATAATAATTCCAGCACATATCAAAATGTTATAAATCCAATATTACACAGTGCTAATCGCATAGACATCAAAATCCCAAAAGAAATCTGAATCCAAAAGGAGAGCTAGATTGCAATCAATGTGAAACCTGCAAAAATAAAAAATAAAAAATAAAAAATAAGAATAAGAATAAATGAGATTAAAATTTAAAGGCTAAAATAAAATTTTAAAAATTATTTTAGAGAACTTAATATCCTGGTGAGAACACACTACAAGAAAATAGGATTTTTACAACCTGTAATTAATGATATGCATAAAAAGTTAGCCTCGTTAAGTACAAATGTAAGCCTCATGTTTTGAGGAAGCCATTACATATTATATCTACGGCTTGCACTTAATTGCTTATTCAATTTTTTATTTTTATTATTTTTTTTTAAAAAAAAAAACCTATATTTTTAATTATAACGACCTATTCGTTGCATTGTCAATGTTGAGCCAAAATTTAATTTAAACCCACTAACTCAATGTCAGCACTCACTATTACAATTAGCTACTATATACAAATTCAACAACTCTAATTTCTTCTAGAATCCATCTCTAAGGCCATAAAAATTCTAAATCATTCATTCATTGACAAAAAGCTTAGTGAGGTCCACATTGGGAAACAATCAGGTGTTCCACTATTTTTCCATTCAACCATTGGGTGATCATTTCTTTGAATCAGGAATATGCTCTATGAATTTCCTTCCATTATTTTTGGATGTTGAAACAATTAGTTAGATGAAGACAATATCTTTATGAGTTTTTAGCCTTATTATTCCCTATAGCATTTTTTTTTCTTTGAAGATTTTCAAGTTTTCACAAATTCTGGAGTCAATCTACTGTACAGGGTTTCTGTACAGGTAAGATATATAATTTTTTTCCTTTTTTTTTTTTTTGTCGTTGATTTATATTTGGTCAACGATGAAGCTAATTTTATATTAATTTTGTTGATTTATATTTAGAATTAATAACTAGGCCTGCATGATTGATCCCATTAATATACCTCATGGAATGAACTTTCTTATGAGTGATGAAGCTAAGCTGTTTGAGTGCTCCTATATGCTTATAAAAAATAGTTACTTGACTTGATAGTAATTTTTCCTTTAATATATGGAAATCTTCCAAAAAATTTCTAATTATCAACTAATTGATAATGTTCTCCAAGCCATTGCATTAGGGAATTAATTTATTGTGGTTGTAACAAAGGTGCTGAAATGAATGCACACATGAGAAAGACCTAATTCAAATGGTTTGTTCATATACAGCAAAGATAACTAATCACACTAGCTAGGAAGACTCTTCTTCTCACACACAGACCCAACTAAACTATTAATTTTTGGAAACAAAAGAAAATTAATAAATTACTTTATATTTTAACTTTAAATAGTGCATTAATTTGATTTTATATGGATCACAAATTGATTCAAGAACATTTTAGTTAAAATAAAATAAAATATGACTTTCATAACTAATTTGTTACATGTAACGTCACTCTTTTAACGTTTAGCAAAATGTAATGGGGAGGATTGCAAATGTTTGAATTGATGAGGAAGATTTGATGCCAAGTCTTTTAACAAGTTGTTTAATATGTAAACTATAATATATCTCTCTTCAGCATGTTTCAGCCAGGAATGGAACTGTGTGATCATCTGTGATGCAAAGTATAATTACTATGTTTCATTGCCTTTTTCTAGGTAACATCATTATTGCTATCCCATAAAATGTACTGGAAAAAAACCAAATTATGATTAACAGAAGTTACCAGATTAACCATGGAATTATCCATATACACATGCAATTCTTTTTTTTTTTAATCACTCTCAGTCTCACCTAGGGTTTGAATGAACTTTTTGTCGCACTACAAAGTTTTAGAGATAAGAGATTCAAAATTCTCTCTACATATCATATATCACATATGTATATGTATGTGTATATGGATACATTTGTGCTGCTTTAATTAATTGCATAATTTTATTTTGTAATTTCATCAGATCATATCTGAGTTTGTTTCGATCTTCTAATTGTTTCCGGTACATTAAGTTTAATCTTCGTAGATTTTTTGATCATGAGATTTAAAATTGACAAGTACAAGACAATTTCATCCCTAATCTACACCATCACGGAAGTGCACCAGGTAGACAAAGGTCTTCGATGAGTTCTTCAACTTCATCCCTCATTGTTGAGTTTTATTTTGAGTTTGTACTTCTTTTTAGTTTTGATGTTGTGAGTTAGATTGTGAGAATATGATCTGATGCTAAAATTGAGGTTAGATTGAAAGAATATGAATTTGATGTAGAAATTGAGGTTATATATATATATATATATATATATATATGCATTATTAAGATTTATCAAGTTCTCTTATAGGTTTTTCAAACATCTTAAGTTTCTGAATGTCTTATACTTGGGTAGGATTTGGTTAGTAGTTTTTGTTTGGGTTGGTTTTGCCTAAATTCTAATACTTGTAAGTATTATTCACATCAACATATAATGTTAGCACACTGAAAAAATTAAATAAACTGGGCAGTGGGGCAATTTAAATGGGAGCGGGGATAAACGATGAGAGCTACGGTTATTGGTCTGTGCGTGCTGGTGTAGTTTTGATTATGATGCAGTGTCTTTGATCTTCTGTGCTCTGTTATTTGTTACTTTTTATTTGGGTTTGATCTAGCAAGAGGTAGCCCTGCTTCTCAGTTGGCTTCACTCTATGTTGAATTTTCTATAATTTTTTGAATAACCGCTGCACAAAATTATTCTTTAGCTGAGCATTGTTGTTCCAATTTTTGTTTCAACCTTATTAATCGTGCCCTATGGTCCTGGGGCATGACAGGTTTTGTTTTCATCTTCCAAGTTGTCGATTTTGTTCAGAATAAATATTTCTTATATAGCTTTGTGGAAATAATATGTTACTAATGTGTTTTAAAAAAAAAATCTTGATTTGTACAAGTAAAGGCCCTAACTTCTCAAAATTTCATTTGAACTACCTGGGAATGGTAAGCGGATTAGAAACGTTCTGTGGACAAGCCTATGGAGTAAAGTAGTATCATATGCTTGGCATTCACATGCAGAGAGCTATGCTTGTGGTTGTACTATTGGGGATTCCTATATCAGTCATCTTGGCCTACTCGGGATACGTTCTCACTAGCTGTGGACAAGACTTAGCGATTTCAACACAAACGAGGATATATGCTGGTTGGTTGATTCCCATCATTTTCCCTTATGGCATCCTCTAGTATTTTTGGTCTCCCCTAATTCTCTTCCAAAGGCAAAATGGCACTAATTTTAATAGATTGCTAATATGTTGATAGAATTATTAGCCTCATTGTTAAGTTACCAGGTTAGGTTATTAAAAAATAGTTAAACATATCATTTATCCATTACTTATTTAATTTAATTCTATTATAGGTTTCGTAGCCCCATTAGTTTTGTCAATACCCAATCTTAACTCTTCAACACCTAGAAACTGGAGTAAATAATGTTTGTTCCTTGTATTTTAGGGAGACTTCCTATTCTAATTTTATTTCAAAACCATATACAAGACAAACTTTAGCAAGCACTAGAATAATAACGCTATTTTGAGAAATTAAACATAATTATCAACTAACAGAATTGTCACACCTAAAGTACAAGATTTGATTTAATTCTTGGGAGAGTTATGGAATTAGAGTGAGCCTTTACAGACTTTGGATTGATTTCTTGAATCAATTAGTCTGGCATAACATCCTACGAAGTAGATTACTAACTGATGTCATACACTAGATGAAAGTTAGGCCTAAGCATAATAGTAAAGTCCCGAGAATATCAGATCTTAAAATTCAATAGAAGAGAGTCTTACCAAGACAACAAACAGAAGCACGTTAAAGATTGCAACCACCCTCCATTCAGTTTTCATGCATTGTGCAACTCCAACCTTGAAATTATAAAAGTAATTCATGTTTTAGACTCTTAATTAATCTATTGAATTTTTTTTTTTTTACCTATTTTAAAAACCATGAATTGTAATCTTGAAGTTGATATTTGTTGTAGTACCTAACCAGACAGAGATCAATAAAGATGCTTTTTTGCCTATTTATATCAATATCGCACATGAAAAATAGGGAATAAAAGAGAAAGAAAGATGCTTTAATTTGTTCACTTAATATTTTGTCCCTCTCTTTTTATTCCAATACATCTCAAGGTCTTCTTCTATATAAATACTTAATCTAACAGTAACTCTAAATTAGATGGTAGGGAAAACAAATTCTAAACTTTAATTATAAATGTAACTTACTAAGTGGAATAAGTAGCACCAATAGAAGAGATCTGCAAGGCTAAAAACTGTTGATCCAATATGAAAAAATTGGTGACCTGAGATTGCAAAAAGGTAATTGACATGAGACTATGATAACATGCAATCATTGAGTAATTAAAAGGAATATAACATTGTATTAAATAGCTTACATTAATCTTGGGCTATTAGCTTTTAAGATCTTGTTATACGTTTGTTTTCTAAGTTAGATTGAAGAAGCTAAGACGCTTGTTCAGCTGGGGTACTCAAATAATTACACTCGCTATAACCTTAAAATGCCTTCAGACAAGTAATGAAATTTTTACTAATTTTCTTGTATGATATTGTGTGTTGAATCCTTGTGTTAGTTAGACAAGCGGGAAGGAATTTTGCTGAATTTTGGAGATCTAGTAACTAGTTAATTTTTATTAAATGCTGGAATTGGCATTAAATAAATTGCAAAATGGTCTTTTATGTTTTGTTATACTTAATGTAATCCCTTTTCTGACTCATCTTAAGCTTCTCATGGTGTAGTCAAATTTGCTTTACTGTGATAAATTTATATTTGTTGGTCTTGACACTAAATTGATTCACTGATGCAAATTTTGGCATGTAAGTTAAAATGATTATTTGGTTTTATGCTTGTTTATATTGTAAATTACTTTTTCTTGTTGTTTTGGTGTTAAACAGGTTGCATGGTAGCATTTATCTGGTTGTTAATAATTTAAGGTTTAACATATTTTGTATCTTTAACATGCAATTTTTGTTTCTAGTTTATGAAGATAGAAATCAGAGAGAACTTGTACTTTGTATAGTTTAACTGGTAATTTGCATTGTGTATGCTTAGGTTCCAGAAATTCAAATGGACATTGGGTTGAGATGGTCTAAGACAGGCAGTTTTGTGTTTATTTATTCAATTTTTTTATTTTTTATTATTATTATTTTTTTTAATGCAGCAATACATCTTGTTTCCAATTTTCAGAAGCTTTGATAAAATTCTATAACTTAATCCCACTCTGTTGTTGACTCAAGTGTAATCTAGAAACTATTACAATTGATTCGCCCTTATATATATGTACTTTTCTGAAGAAGGGAATCAGATCAAGTGAGGTAATATATAGTATTTCTTATCGAAGTTGGTATATTATGCGTGATATTATCTTCAATCTATGACTAGATCAACAAGAATTATGTGTGCGCCACGAGAGCTGCTGTCATTAATGACATAATATTGTGGTTACCACAATAATTGTGTTGGTTTGGCCTCACCTTTTTGTTCATAACTTCACGTCCAGATAATTGCATTTATTAGCTCAGTAATGTTATAAACCAAAATCAACATACAATAAGATCAACTAGAATAGAGAAACAATCACACTACTTGTCTACTAGCACTTTCGGTTTTTAGTGAAAGCAATTATTTGACTTTGTCAAGTCAGTAGGACTATAAGTTGACATTTTTGTTCAAAACCAAGTCTGCATATTTATCTTTTCTTCTTTTTTTCATTTTCTTTCATTTTCTTTTCAAAAATATAAATTTCAAGAGTTACTTTAGTTAGTTAGGTCAAGTTTACCTTTGATCCAAAGCCCGTGAAGATTTAAGAGATCAACAAGCATAAGAGGTAAAATTATCACTAAAATATCAATCTCTCTCATTAAGGTTTATAGTAATGCTTTCATATTAGATTGTTGGGCATATATGTTTATTCCGTAAAAAGGTGTTTGAAATGCATAAAAACTGTGTTTGATTGAGAAGCTTAAGTTTCATAGTATAGATTTGATTGTAGGTTTTATTGATGAATCAGTTGAACTCTGCAAACATCAGTTTTCTAATTGGTTTTAAATATCTTAAACTGTAATTTCTCCCATCCTAAACTCTATATAAGCAATCCCAATGTCCTCTAACATATATACGCAAATTCATAGCTATCAACCATTCTTTTGAGAGCATCTAGGATTATTTTGCTTTCTTTCAGCATCACCACATGCATACTTGTCATATGATGGTGACCCTGAGTATACAAGAACAAAAAACAATCTTATGCTGGAGAATGTTGGTCCCCTTGAGGAATGGGTTCGTTATTGACAACAGCAAAATCCAGGTGGAGAATCTGTCGTGAATTTAAGATAAGGGTGATTCTAGGGTAAAACCCTAATGCCTAGAGTTGTAACATTTTTCTTAATAGCGATCGGTTCTAGGTGAAGTAGGTCTAATATTTTTTCTCCCTTTATGTTTTTTCATGTAATTTGGTGCTTTGTGTGGATTGTTCTTTTCTTTGATTTCTGCATTATTTCTTATTGTGGTGATTGGTTGATATTTTAAATTTTTGTCAACTTCCTAAACAAAAATTAATAGAATTATTCACCCACTCTCTAGGTCAGGGTATAGTGACTCTAAGGTATCAGAACCTAGGTTGTCGACTTCCCCAACTCCACGAGCCTCTTTTCAATCTTCAATCTTCAATCTTTATACATCTTAATAAATCCATCTAACATTAGCTGCCCTGTTTTTGTAATTATTTTTTGTACTTGTAATTTTTCTTTTTGTTCTTTGTTTTTTTTTTCTTTGGCTTTGAATCTGTATCTAATTACTTTTTATAATTCAAGTAGATTGGACAAAAGAAGCATTTAAACTGTTGTAATACAGGGCTTTCTTATATGCCTTGTTCATATGTTTTTGGCCCCATTTTCCCCCTTTTTAAAAGATTAACACGCTACAGGAAGTTTTCTACGTGAATGCTATGACTAGTTATTTTAATGTTTAGGAACCTTTCATGAGTTAGCGTGTGACTCAACTGTTGTTCATTTCTAAAACTTTGAAAAAACTTAAACAATTGACTTAAGCAAAACTTCTTGTTCACTTTTAAAACTTTAATAACTTTGTTGCACTCTTCAAGAGTAGATGTTATCATGAATCGATTACTTATTTCATTTAGTTTTTCATTTATTTTTGAGTTTTTAAGGTCCTTTTTTATTGGATTAATCTGCTTGTACTTACAAGAGACTCTTGCCTTTATTATTGTAGAAGATAGGATAGCCCCTCTATATAAGGAGAATTATAAACTTCATTAACTCTTCTTATACTATGAAGCCTAAAATCAACCTTTGCAATAAACGAGGCATCTGCTGAAAAAGTTGAAATGGGGCTGAAGAAGTTGTTATTGGGCATAAGTTTCTATAAATGGTGGTCATATGATATAATTGTTTTATTTGAACTTATAACTGTAAGGATGTTAACACCAAACTTTAAACAACTCAAGTTCTACGGTTCACATCTTAATGCTCAGAAATGTTGAGCAAGTTTTATATCCCGCTCACATCTTAATACTCAGAAATGATGAGCAAGTTTTATATCCCGCGCATTTTACTAGTGTTCATGAGTGGTTTTTGCTGACTCTGTACTTTATACAATGGTGATAATTCTATAATAATTGTTCAATATCCTATATTTAAATGCAGTGGCCTGGGACAGTACTAATCTCTTTGATTTTGCAAATTATTATTATTATTTTTATTATTTCGTTATGGCATTTACAATGAGGACATGATTTACTAAGAGGGTAAATCTATCTCATATAGGAATGAAATTAAGCAAAGGAAGAATTCATGGCAAGATGGAGTGTTGGGGACTAATTGCCTTATCCTTCCAAACACAAATTTCACATACAAGTTCCAGACCAAAGATTAGATTGGAAGCTACACATACTTCCCATCGATTCTGATGCACAAAGCTGCTGGAAGGTTTGGGGGAATAAATGTCTATGCAAAACCTCAAATCCCAGCTCCATATACTTTACCTACTGCAGATTTTACTTTCCTTATTGGGGATTGGTATAAGACCAGCCATAAGATGAGGATAATACATATAAATTATGTTTACACGTTTCTGATATATTGATTCTCAAAAATGTATTCTCAATCTATGCTTATTTAAAAGAATATATCGAAAAATTGACCCAATATAAAGAAAAAATAAAATTGATTAAACATAAAATACCTGATTAATTTGTTGCGTTCAATCAAGCTTGAATAGAGCTCAATGAAACTTTATTGGTCGGTTTCTTGCATCCTCAATGGCTTCCAACAATTCCACTCTAGGGCTTCAATTAACTGATAGATTTTGAGAGCGAGAATCAATCAGATTCAAAAATAAACTGGGTTCAACTTTTTTGCGAAAAAAATTGTTCAGATTAGGGCTTCAAAAATAATGTAGAGATTGGTAGCGACCAGACATAGATGGAGATGGAGATGGGGATGGATCAAACGAGAGAAAGAAGGGATTGGATCTGAGAGAGAAGGAGAATCTAAATCTGATTAAGACCAGAGCTTTATGTGAGCGAACTCAGAGAGATAGGAATAAGCGCGAGTGTGAAAATTGAAATGAAAATAGAGTGCGGGTTATTTTTGGCCAGACGCGTATATATTTCTAGAGTGATTGGGTGGTCTCTATGAGTGTGTGTGTGTGTGTGTGAGAGAGAGAGAGAGAGAGAGAGTGTGTGTGTGGGAGAACACAGATGCTGGGCGGGTGCATTTGGCGGGCCCAAAAATTTGGCAAGTTTCAAATTCATTTTTATGGCTAAATAAATTTTTAAATAAAATAAATTTGTATATTTATATTATTTATAATTATAGAGTAATAATAAAGTAGTAGTATATTTTAAGGGAGATTGATATTTCCATTCCACTTTTCTCTAATTGCATTATATTTACTTTTTTTCTTTCAAAAGAAATGACAAGAAAATTATTAAATTCATTAATGCACTATCCCAGAATTTATAATGTCATAACTATCCTTCTTTTCTTTTCTTTTCTTTTTTTTTTACAATTGAAAGGAAAATTTATTCAACAAAGTTAACTTATTTTTAGTCAAAAGAGGTAACCTTTTTTTTTGATAATTTTTTATGGGTCTTGTCAAAATAAATAATTTATTTATTTTTCCTAAATGAAAGAAATAATTTATTAGATAAAAATAACCTTTTTTTTTTTTGGTCTTATCAAAAGAGATAATTTATTTAATATAGATAAAAAAAAATTATTCTTTTTTTTTCTTTTGGGTATATTGACAAAAAATATAATTTCTTCAATAAATGTTTTTTTCGAGTTTTTTTTTCATGTCAAAATAGATAATTTTTTTAATGGTTACTTTTTTTTTTGTCAAGTTAAAAGAGTCAATTTATTCAACATAAATTTTTATTTCTTGGTCCCGTAAAAAAAAAAATTATTCAATTAATTTTTTATCTTGTCAAAAAAGATCTAAAATAATAAAAAATTAGAAATAAGAAGAGAAAATCTAAAATGATAGTTTTGTGATTTAAAAAATAATAATTATTTACTTGTAAAGTTAGGGTTAGAATTACTATTTCATTTAATAATTGAGTGCAAACGTTGAAAAGTGTAGTGCAGATATCGCCTCCCTATTTTGAACTATAAATCTTTAGACAAGAGTCTATTTACTAATAAAATTAACTAAATATATTTTTTTAATTAAATAAAATTGTTATTAATATATTAATTTTAATGAAAACATATATCACCAATTCCACCTTTGGAAGACCCTAATGCACACCACAAGTCTGATCCAATATATATATATACTAGTTATATGTGATAGAGTTTTATAGAAAATAAAATAGGTCATTTGTGGTACAGTTTTATAGAAATTATTTTATTCTTTAAATATATCCTTGTCTAATTAGATTTCTTTTTATTAAAAAAAAAAACTCATAATAAATAGATAAATTTATGTTATATGTGATAAAATTTTATAGAAAATAAAATAGGTAATTTGTGATAGAGTTTTATAGAAACAGACAATTTTTGGTAGAGTTTTATAAAAATTGTTTTATTTTCTTTAAATATATCCTTATCTAATAAATAGATAAAGTTAATTTTATAGAAATTATTTTATTTTCTTTAAATATATTCTTGTCTAATTAGATTTTCTTTTATTAAAAAAATTCATAATAAATAGATAAATACTGATTATATGTGATAGAGTTTTATAGAAAATAAAATAGATAATTTGTGGTAAAATTTTATACAAATAGATAACTTGTTGTAGAGTTTTATAGAAATTATTTTATTTTCTTTAAATATATTCTTGTCTAATAAATAGATAAATAGGTAATTTGTATTTGGGTGGTAATTAATTTATGGTAGAGTGATGAATGTAGGTTTTTGGATTCCGTCGACACTTCGTGCAAAAATAAAGAAAAACCTACAAAAACTAAATTAAATATTTTAGGCTTTAGAGTAATACTATCCCCAATAGCTAAAATACCAACCCCATAATACCCCCTTATAAGACTATAAGAGTATATATATGACCCAAATTTGGATTTATTTATTTATTATTATTATTTTACATGGTTCTTAGGATTTTTTTTTTATATCAATTACCTTAAAAATTAATTCTTATAAAATCATCTCTCATTAATTAAAAGACAATTGATTTAATTCAATCAATCTTATTACGTACTCAATGATCAATGATGGAGAAGTTGGTGTGACTTACTAACAGGGACGAGGCCAGGATTTCAAGTGAGGGGGGCGCACTACCAAAAAAAATAATAATAATAATACGGAGTATATATATATATATATATACACACATAACAACTATAAAATTCAAAAGGAAAGAAAGAAGAAAATTATTCAAATATGCATGTTAAAAAGAAGAATTTTAAAAGTAGAAATAGAAAAAAAAAAAAAAAAAAAAGGAAAGAAAAATTAAAGAACTTTAAAAAGAAAAAGTTAAAAAGTTTCAATTGAGGAAAGAAATTTTGACTTTTCTATTAAAAAAATTTAAGGAATTTGAGGAGTAAAAGAAAAAATAAAGAGATAATTTTAGGAACGACAAAATTTAGGGGGGCACTGTATAATTTTTATAATTTTTTTTAATAGATTGATCAACCTTTACTCAATGATCGATGATAGAAAAGTAGGCATGACTTGCTATAAAATTTTAATTAATTGAAATATATATTTGTAAAGAACATTTGAAAAGTTTAATTACTAGTTATTACTCATAAATGTATTTATAAAAACTGACACTTAAATTTTTTAACTATTAATTATATAATGTATTTAATTAATATATAATTTATGTTTTAAATTTGGCCATTATGCAAAAAATAAGAAAAACAAAATTCAAAATTTATCTAAAATAAAAACATTTTGCTAGAAAAGTTATAAATATTTAAATTTCATTAAAAAAAAAAAAAAACAATTTTTTTTAGTTTAGGACATTAAATTTCATGACACAAATAGTTTTGTTTTTTAAATAAATATTCTTCAACAATGTTTTGCTTGGTAAGAAAGAAAAAATTGGCATGTGCAGTTCATTTGAACAACGGGCGATCAGCGATGGAAAAGAAGTTGCAGAGACTAAACATAATTTGATATAGTGATATGCGGCGTATGCTGATATGAGTTTTGAACTTTTGATTCTCACAGTTGCAGAAGCTAGAGAGAGATATAGAGAAAGATATGCATGTTTGGTTTGTAACTTTGAAAACAATTCTCAAGAATTTATAGAATAGAAAACTGTTTTTAGAGAACTATAAAAGATAATTATCTGAAAATAGGCCTTTTTATAACTGTATTTTCAAAAAACGGTTCTCAAAATACTTAACCGAACAGAATTTTTATTCAGTTTTGTATTTTTAATTTTCTAAAAATAGAAAACTGTTCTCATAGTTACAAACCAAGGTTGCTTGGTTTGTAATTCTGAAAACATGTTCTCAATAATTTAGAGAACAATAAAAGACAGTTCTCTCAATAAAATTTTTATTTATTTTACTTTTAAGATATTCCTAAAAACATATCCAATTAGGGGTGTATACAGTTCAGTTTGGACCGTTTTGAGAGTTTTTTGAAACCAAACCATTTCCAACAGTTTCAGAAAATTTAGAATCAAACTAAACCATTTGACCAAAGGAACCGAATTATGTATATTTCTTTTCATGATAATTCTTAACTAATTAAATTATACACACACACACACACACACACACATATATATATATATATATTTCCTTCCATAATAATTATGCAAAGATAATTATTTAAATATCTTTATAACCATGGGCTTTATTAATTACCCCAACAAGGCTTCCTTCAAGCCCAAGACCATATCCATTGGTCACACTCCTCTTAAGCCCCATCCAACTAAAATAAAATAATTAAATTAAATCTGATAATTACAAATAATTAACAAACAATTCACGCAAACATAAATACACATAAATGAAATAGACAATTTAATCATAATATTCCACAAAGCAAAGCATCATATCAATTCAACAAATATACTAACGAAATATAATCTAATTAAAATAAGATAATTAATCTAAGCACTCAATTAAATAAAACAAATCATTTTAAAAATAAAATAAAAATAATTAATCTCAATTAATAAATCATTTATATATATATTCTCTTATTTAAATTTAAATATGAATTATACAAATTACCCTTTAACTTTATTATTAGAATTAATTTATCATTAAAAAAATTATAACTACCATTTTATAAAATGATTAACTTATTATTAGAACATTGGGACATTTTTGGCAATAGATGATATTAGGCACAAAATATAATTTAAGGGGGTTATTTACAAATTCAAACATAGTTCAGAGAGTTTTTTGTACTTTACCATATATTTATATATATATATATACACATACTTATATATATTAAAAACATACATTATGAGAAGTTTTAATTTTTCTTATTATTTCTCAAACAAGTATATGATGACAAAAGGCCAATTTATGATAACAATTTACTCTTTTGTGACAAAATATCCTTTGTCGCTAAACGATAGAAATTGGAATTTGTCACTAAAAATCTATCAATTGTGACAAAGCTATATTTGTCACAATAAGTCAATCTTTTGCGACAATAATCATTTGTCACTAGAAGGTTGTTTGTAGCGACAAGAATTTTTGTAGTTAAAATGTCATCAATTGTGACAAAGCTATATTTGTCACAATAAGTCAAACTTTTGTGGCAATAATCATTTGTCACTAGAAGGTTGTTTGCAGCGACAAGAGTTTTTGTCACTAAAAATCTATCAATTGTGACAAAGTTATATTTGTCACAATAAATCAATCTTTTGTGACAATGATCATTTGTCACTAAAAGGTTATTTGTAGCGACAAGAATTTTTGTCACTAAAAATTTATCTATTGTGACAAAGCTATATTTGTCACAATAAGTTAATCTTTTGCGACAATGATCATTTGTCACTCGAAGGTTGTTTGTAGTGACAAGAATTTTTGTCGTTAAAATGCCATCAATTGTGACAAAGCTATATTTGTTACAATAAGTGAATCTTTTGCGACAATAATCATTTGTCACTAGAAAGTTGTTTGTAGCGACAAGAATTTTTGTC